TTGTGAATAAGTTTTTGTGTAAACATGTTTTCATTTTTGGGGTACATACCTAGGAGTAGAATTGCAGTATTCTGTTGGAACTGGTAAATCTATGTTTAACCTTTTCAGAAACTATCAGTCTGTTTCCCAAAGCAGTTGCATTTTACATTGCTACCAGCAGAGTATAAGGGTTTTAAATCACCACATCCTCACTAACATTTATTTTTTAAAATTTATTTTAGCTATCCTAGTGTATAAGAAGCAGTACATCATTGGGTTTTACTTTGCATTTCCCTGATGATTAATAATGTTGAGCATTTTTTTTTTGAGACAAGATCTTGCTCTATAGTTCAGATTGCTTTTGAACTTACTATCTAGCTCAGGCTGGCCTCAGACTCATGTTGATCCTCCTGCCCCAGCCTCCCTAGTGCTGGGATTACAGAAATGCCCACATCTGGCTTAGAACATCTTTACATGTGCTTATTGGACATTTGAGTGTCCTCTTTGGAGAAATGCCTATTTGTTTCTTGTGCTCCTACTATTGTTATTCATGTTAGTTAGATTGAATAAATAAATATTATAAATCCTACCAAAGGTCCCATGTTCAGTAAAATTCGCCCACATTATAGTGCTATGTAACATGTATTGTAGTATGTAAAATGTGGGAAGGGGCCGGGGGTGTAGCTCAGTGGTAGAGCACTTGCCTAGCATGCGTGGATACAAGTTTGATGTACAGGATCAACAAACTAAGTTAATAAAGCATTAAAATTCTAATTAGATTTTGTTAAATACTAAATAAAACAACTTGATATGAGATTTAACAACTTATTGTCATTCCATTTGGAGTGGTGGCTCAAGTCTGCAATTCCAGCTTTTTGGGAGGCTAAGGCAGGATTCCAAGTTCATGTCCTTTGGGCAACTTAGCCAGACCCTGTCTCTAAATAAAAAATAATAAAGGCCTTGGGGTGTAGCTCAATGTGAAGGCTACGGATTTAATCTCCAGTACTGTACAAATAAAAATAAAAATAAAAAAATCATTATTATTCCAACAGTCAAAGGTAAGAAGTCTTGTATTGTAGGTAGAAATAGAACTAAATTACTATAACAAAATCCATTTGTGCTTTCAAGCTAAAGCTAATTTGCAATTTTACTTCTACATATAATTAATTATTGGAAGTAAGTTGCAAAAAGTTTACCTAAGTTCTTATTTGATAAATTAGAGGTGAGAACTACTTTTTTCTTCTTTCAAACTCTGGCCTTTTGCATAAAAATAAATAGTGCCAAATTTTTGGAGAGAGTCCTGTTTAATTTGGTATATAATTAAAATCTCATGTAGCTTTATTGGTTTTAGTATCCAGCAGAGAAAAAATATTGAAACTCCAAGAGATTTTGAATTAAATAGCTACAACAGTTTTGTTTTATTAGTTTTGACTGTGTGAAAAAAAATCATAAGGACAATGTTGGAAAAATGTAGTTCTTTTAGAGCCCCAAATGACTTTTAAAACAATAAAACAAACTATAAAACCCACACAAGTGATATTAAAAATTATGTAGTTCAATAAATGTGACATTCACAAATGTGGTTGTAATTTCTTTTAACTACAGCACAGTGAACATGGATCTGACGACTGGCTTTAGGAAAGGTAGTGTTATATAGCTTAACAGAATTAAGTGCTTCAGTTTGCTGGTGAGGATTATGTAGCTGAATTGGAATGTTATACCACTGCCTTCTTAAAGATCTATATTCACTTCTGGGTCTGTGGCACCATCAAGGAAAGGAACGATGCTCCCTTTACTAGTGTTTGTTTAATAATTAGAGATAATTTCTCTAGTATTAGTGATCATTAATGGTCTTGAGGGGGATGTTTGTAGGTTTAGGTCTTTTTGGCTCATGGCTACATCAGTCCCAGAGTAAACTAGTAGTATCCACTCATACTGTTTCTGAAGATGGTGTATGAAGGCTGGCTAGTGATTTCTGTATAGGCAGTAAATAAACAGGGGTAATTATTCCAGTTACTTATTAGGTGGAAGGGACAAAAATGAAGATGAGGGAGACACATGTTTGAGAAAAATAGTTATTTGCTTAGTTCACTGAGGTCCTGATCTCTGAAGACCAAATATAACTTTTGAAGGCACATTTGAACTTTAGACATAACTTTCCTTTCTTGGTCTCCAGAACCTGTATGTCTCCTTGGAATACAAAACAGACCAAATTCTCCAGTAAGCCATGTGACGAGAATGATGGCTGATGGGGTCTGCAGATAGCAGAGCTGACCTACGGAGACCAGCGAGTCCCAATGAACCCTCGACTGGTGATTCCAGGAGCATGCTGCTACCTAAAATTATATGCAGACTTAACAAATAATTTATAATTTTTTACCTTCAAAACAATGAAGGAGTGTTTTTATTTTTAACCTTCAAAATCATACTTTCACCCACTTTTTATGTTGAAAACTTTAAAACCTACAGAGAAGCTTTAGTTTAATTTCTCTTTATGTATACATATGTGTATCTATGTATAAGTATTATGCCTGTATATATTGAGCTATTTGAAAGTTGCAGATATGATCCATCATCCCTAAATAGTTTATATTTCTCAAGAATTACAATGCATTTTCCAAAATTATTCACAATACCAACATCACGCCTAAGACATCACTAATTTAATATTGTCATCTAACAATACATTCATATTTACATTCCTTTATGGTCCTTGAACAAGTCTTTTACACATTTTTTTAAAACCTAGAATCCAATCAGTTGGGGTGATAACATAAGAGCTTGTGAGATTCCTCATCTTCAACATTTCACCCATCAGTTGTGGTGTCCAAGGAAGATTTTCTTGAATGAAGTGTTATATTTTCTTATTTTGTCAACTTTCTGCATCGTTTGCTGGCATTCTTCCAGTTTTCCCAGGTTCCACCCCTTTCTCTCACTTTGAGTGATCACCATGAACTCACAAAGGGTTGTATTCAATGTGTTACCATCTATAATGTATTTTTGAAGCTTAAATTTCCCCAAATTTAGTCAATGCAAGTTCCTTCAAGGAAGCGGGTACCCCTCCCCCATGCTTTCTGGCAACACAGTTTCTCAGTTCACACTGTACCTTTCCTCCTTCAGCGCTATGTCAGTCATTTATTCAAGGACTTAATTATACCATGAGTATATCACACATGCACATGGTTCAATTCTCGAAATATTCACAAGATACACATTCTCCAGCCTCATCCCTGTCTTCAGCCAATGTGACTTGGACAGCCAATATTCTTGTTTGTTACATAAAAAGGTGAACATACAGAGATGGATATATCCTTATCCCCAAGGTTATTTTTTTAAAATTGTTTATTGGTACATTTTATATAAACATAATGATAGCATTCACTCAAGGCTTTAACTCAAATGATAGCATATTATGCTCCCTAGGTTTGTCTGTGCTTGTAGCTCTTGTCTGTCACTTGATGCTGAAAGATGCCTGTGACCGGGTATTAACAGGTCAAGTCTCAAATCCTTTAGATGAGGAAAGTTCAGGGTGGTGAAGTGACCAAGGTTATTTTAGCTAACAACACCCACATGCTATTATTCTCCTGGAATGTTTGACTCTCTCACTGGGTCTCACCCTAGTCTTGTTGACACTTATTTTTCAAAACCTCAATCCCCTGGGAAGTCTTTCCCTTCCCTACAGTTCTTCTTCGACCCTCTCCCACCTAGGTGATGTTCCCTTGCCATAAGGTTTCAGTTCATTGTGCACATCCTAGCACACATATGTCACTGTATTAACTTTTTTTCCTGCTTGTACAGGGACCTTATGTCTTGTTCGCTGCTGGCATACTGCAGTTGCTCACCAAAAATGTGTGAAGTGAAACTCGAACCCAGGCAGTCTGGCTCCCGGTCCAGTCTTCCTACTTTAGTGCCACTGCAGATGGAGAAATAGTTCAAAGATGTAGATTTAATGATAATTCTTCTTAACAACCCAAGAGAAAAAGATAGGAAATCTATTTCCAAGAGTAACACAAAACACCAGCGGAAACAACTCACCTCTAGGTGTGACAACTGCGCGCGCAGGGGGAGGGGGTGTCCATCAAGAAATTGGCTCTTTGCACAGGACACGCATGAAGACCCCCAGGGCCGAGGTCATGCTCCTCTGGGAGGGACAGCGCCCTGGCTGCAACAGAAAGCACGTGCAAAACGGAGGGGCCGTGCTGCCTGCAGCTGTCACCCCCAGAGCTGGAGAGAAAGGACACGGAGCAGCCCTTGTTGCATCCAAAAGGATTTCATAGCCTCTGACTGGCTCCGTACGAACTGGTCCTCCCCTTGGGTCCTGTCCTGAGCAGCTTCTCCACGATCCCAGAGAAATGGATGGGGTACAGAAGCTACTCAGTGAAACGGCTCGAGCTGCCCCGAGACTGAAGCACCTCAAGTCTAGACGCCGGCACCCCGCCGGAATGCAGCTAAGGGAGGAGTCCCTTCTCTTGGCAGCAGCTCTAGGAGCTTGGGGTGCTCTCCAATGGTGAGTTTAAGGGAAGCCCCGGGCAATGACCAGCGCCGCCGTTAGCCCAGGGAGCGCACCGTCCAGGAAGGCTCCCTCCAGGAAGGCCGGCCAAGCTCAGCCCTGTCAGCGACCCGCGCCGCCGCCGGCTCCAGGGGTCCTGCCCCGCTCTGGACGGGGCCACGGCCGCTGGGTCAGCGTCCCCGGCAGCTGCGGCCCTCGAGCCCCTCCGGACGGACGCGGCTCGGGCTGTCTTGGAGGGCATCGCCGGCCACGACGGAGCCTGGCAGGCCAGCGGCGACCGCGGGGCGGACCCTCGCCGGGCGCGGGTCCGGGAGTCCCGGAGCCCGAGCGTTCGGGGGCGTGGGCTGGGCCGGCGGCGGGCCGGGTGGGGCGGAGGCGGCGCCCTGCGGCCCGCGCCATTGGCCGCGGCGGGCGGCAGGAAGGGGCCAGCGAGCGCGGCCCCACCCCGCGGCGGCGGAGCCTATCGCCGGAGCGCGGGGCGTCGATAAATGTAGCGCCGCGCGCGGGCTGGCAGCTCTCCGCGGCCGGAGCGCAGGAGCCATGCAGTACCCGCACCCCGGGCCGGCGGCGGCGGCGCCCTTGTACGCGCCCACCCCGCTGCTGCAGCCCGCGCACCCGACGCCCTTCTACATCGAGGACATCCTGGGCCGCGGGCCGGCCGCCCCCACGCCCGCCCCCACGCTGCCGTCCCCCAACTCCTCCTTCACCAGCCTCGTGTCCTCCTACCGGGCCCCGCTGTACGAGCCCACGCCGGTGCACCCCGCCTTCTCCCAGCACCCCGCCGCCGCGCTGGCCGCCGCCTACGGCCCCGGCGGCCTCGGAGGCCCGCTGTACCCCTTCCCGCGGGCGGTGAACGACTACGCGCACGCCTTGCTCCGCCACGACCCTCTGGGTAAGGCGGCGGGTCATGGCGGGGCCGAGCGGGCGACGGCGAGGAGGGCGCCGCCCGGCAGGTGGCAGCGCCCGGGAGGCGGCGGGCGAGGGCAGAGGCCACAGAAAGCCGGAGCCCGCAGGAGTGAAAAGGGGCTCTCGGGCGCGCGCGAGGACCGAGGACGGCGGCGCGCAGCGCGGTGACCGCACCGAGACTCAGATTGGTTTCCCTGCACCTCGCGGGCGTCGGGAGCCGCCGGCGGCAGGCCGTGCAGGGCAGCCTCGGCCGCGCGTGTTGCGGCGGCGGGGGCGGGGGCGGGCACGGGGACGGGGACGGGCACGGGGAGGACGGTGTCCGGGCACCCCAGGCTTGCCGCTGAGGGGCAGGGATAGTTGCCGGGCCCGGGCGGTTACAGAGTTGGACTTGGTTCAACAAGCTTGTGCAGTGAAAGAGCCTGACCCTTTCCGTTCATACAGGAAATCTTGAGTTCTCGATAGGAGTAAATCTGGTTTCAGAAGCTGTTAAGTGTTTTCCTGGCTGCGTGAAGCAGACCCTTCCCCCGGAGTAGTGCACGCTGCTGATTATTTTATCGACATCCTCAATACAGACAAATTCAGGAAACACTCGACTTCTGATAGCCAGGATCCGTTTTTCTGATATTGTTCATTTCCTCTGTGTGGGATGTGACTTTATGGCAGCTAAAATAACCAGTTGCTTCCTTTTTTTTTTTTTTTCTTGAGGCTGTTTTGCACCAGTCTGAAGCCTGACGCAAGCAAAATCTCGAAAAAACAATGCCAGCTTTCAAAGCGCTTAAGTGTAGGCCTACAGACACATCGGTGGACGGACTGATGGACATTTGTTTAGAACCAGAAGGCGCAGACCCCAGGCACCAGTTAGAAAGGGCAGCGGGCTCGAATCACTGGGGGAACGCGCGGCCCAAGAAACAAGCCACCAGTGTGGACTCGGGTAGCCCTTGGGCCCGAGGAGCTGAAGCTCCAGGGCAGTTAAAGAAACGGGACGCTTCTCTTGGGCCACCACAGTTTTAAATCAACTCTTACTGGCGGATTGGTCAGCATTACAGGGGCAGGTTCTCTAGCTCAATCCACTTTGGCAGCTCAAGATTTGGGATGTGTGAGTCACATTTTCTGAAAAGGCCTCCCGGGCTTTGTGCCCCCGTGGCTCTATCCCCTCTAGGGACCGGAGCGGGACCCTCAGCCGGGCGGGGCTGGACGACAAACGTTTTCACGGAGCGCGCCCTGGGTTTCCTTGGGTTACTTCTGGAACTGCGCAGGAGGAAGCAAAGGGTTTTTCGAGATAGACCAACAGGAAACACATTGACGGAAATGTTGCCATAGTCTATGGGGTGGCTTTAACTGGCCGCCCCCACGGGCCGGCCGTGAAATCAGAGAAGGCGCGGCGCCCCCGGGCCAGGATTGGAGGCTCCGTGCGCTGCGCGGCCTAGCGCAGCTCCCAGCGGCAGCGCATCTTGCGCAGCCGGGCCGGGGGTGCCGGGGCACCCCGCTGCTCCCCGGAACGCACACACTGGCGTCCCTGGCAAGTGCGTTTCAGCAAGGAAGAAACTGAAGGTACATTAAGTTGTGCATAATTCCGGACCGATTGTTGAAAGAATTTTCCAGGTGTTTTAAGTCCAGTGGGCGATGCGCTTAAGGATTCGTGTTCTTAGCGAGTCATAAGTGTGCTGGTTATGTGTTCGGGTGCGCTCTAGGTGCGTATGCAGTGTAGCTGGGGGACTTTGGGCATTTGTGTGCGCGTCTCGAGGGAGCCCATGGGTCCCCCTTCCTGGGGACATAAGTGAGTAGGTCAGGTCGCTTGGCTTCTTTCGTCTCCTCCCTCCCTCACTTTGTCACCCCATCACCAGGCTGGCCTGGGGGTCGGCCTGGCCCTGCCTGTTCTAGTTCCAGGGCCATCGCTAACTGCATCTTTTGTGGCACTAGGCAAACCCGTGCTGTGGAGTCCCTTCTTGCAGAGGCCCCTGCATAAAAGGAAAGGTGGCCAGGTGAGGTTCTCCAACGACCAGACTATCGAGCTGGAGAAGAAGTTCGAAACGCAGAAATACCTCTCCCCGCCTGAGCGGAAGCGTCTAGCCAAGATGCTGCAGCTTAGCGAGAGACAGGTAAGGCCTTGGGCTTGGGCGGAGGGCGGCTGCTTGGGGCGGAGGTCAAGCAGGACTTGGGGCGGCGGAGAGGCGGAAGAAAGTTGCACTCTCGACCCTGCTCCACTTTTGGAGTCCCAGATCCGCTCCTCTCCTCCTACCCTGGGATTCTGGGCTCTTGCTGAGTTTTCTTTTTCTTTCCTGTAGGTCAAAACCTGGTTTCAGAATCGACGCGCTAAATGGAGAAGACTAAAACAGGTATCCACGACGTAGTTCTGTTTCTATGGGAATAAATATTGTTATCATGTTTTCTCGATGCGAAGCCTGTTATGGGTTGTATGCAAAAGTCATTTGAGAGACTATTTAACCTCTTCACCTTGATTAAAAAGACAAATAATTCTGCAGAAATTCAGGATGAGTTGCTCAGGTGGCAGTAATGCTAAAAGCACCTAATGCAGTTGCTATATCAATTATGCTTGGGTTTTCACACACTGGCTAGTAAAACTCCTAGCTAATTGTTTTATAAACCCCATATGTTGTTTATCTAATTAACGCAGGAAAGATAAAGTAATTGACAGTAAATGACTCAAGCAGTTATCTTGGGGAGAAAATTGTTTCTTTTATTTACACAGTCATAATAAAACCAGGCAGAATTCAAGGGTAAATAAAAGGGCACAAACACCTTTAAGTCTTGTTTGTGCAGCCTTTAAGAAGAATTAAATATCAAAGAGTTTAAAAATTGTTTTCCACCTAATGCCAACTCTTAAAGTGAATATAAAACACGTAAGAAAATATCCACGCCTGTTGGCAAAGTAGTTTATAATTTCTAACAGTCTTTCTCCCGGTGACCTTGTTGCACAATATGTGATAAAAAGGAAAGGTCTATTCAGTTTTTAAAGAAGTTTTGTTGGTTTAAAGCTAAAGATTTGTTTCTGATTACCTAATCTGGATATGTTGCCAAAGTTATCTGACAATTGCCGAATTGTTAATTTTCCAATTTAAATGGTAAATACAATATTTTGAAACAATAATTAAAGTGAGAACATTTAATGTGGATTGTTAAACTTACTGATCATTACTTTTCCATTAAAAACAAGATGGTATCCCAAAGAAAGACCATTTTGAAACAGAAAAAATTTCTGCATTTTTATTACTGTAATGTCAGGTAAATATTTGCAAATTTTCTTTTAGGCTCTGATCTTGTGCATTTGTTACACAATTGAAAACTTGAATGTATTATTTTATTTTGTTTTAAAAATCTATATCGTATCATGCCTCCGTGTAGTGTTAAGACACATTTTAGACAAGCGCAGGATTTAGACAAGCCCAGCATTGACTAGTTCTTTTTCAAAGGCTTTATTCTAGTTTCCAGGGACTTTTAAATTAGTGGTTTCTATGTAATATAAGAATATTTTTCAGGAATTTCCTCCAGGTTTAAAGTAAATTTTATTTAATTCTCTCCCTTGTCAGCAACATTTCTTCTAGTTCTGCACTTGTCTTTGCCATGATTTTGCCACTTGCTACACCCTTATCTGTATATGTTTATAAATTTACATTAGCAAATGAATGAAAAAGAATTCAATCTAATAATTTGGAAACTTTATTAATTTATTACTTTGGAGGGGGTGGCTGTGGGTTGAATCCAGGGGCTTGTACAGGACACAACCCCTGACATTCTTCTTAAAATGTCTAGAAGACTATTCATTGGTAGGATTTAAGTATTTCAAGAATGAAGATACTGTGTAGCTGTTGTGATTTGAGTTTTCCCACTCAAACTTTTAAACATCTTAAGACCATGGGTCTAGCATGGCACTAATCCATTTATGCCAAGGTTTGTAGTTCTTTGAATTTTTGGATGAAATTGATATGTTACCTAGAAAATTCAAGGAACAAGAATTTGTAAAGAAAAATTTTACTATGTTCCATGGTTATGTGTCATCTCCCCCCCCCCACCGCAGAAGCATTCTAGGCATAAAAAGATGAAGTGTTTAATTGATACAGTACATTTACACTTATATTTGTGACTCATATTTTTCCATTATTTCTTTCAAGTCAAATATCACAAGTATGTATTTTCTGAATGAAAAGATTAGAACTGAAAACATTTAGTAAACTAAAAAAAGATGGTGCAGGATGAAAAGACATTTTGCTATTGCCTCTCCTCCATGTGTCATGACCCTACCATTTCCATATTTATCCCCTTCTCCAGGAGAACCCTCAAAGCAATAAAAAGGAGGAACTGGAAGGTTTGGACAATCCCTGCGGCCAGAGGCAAGACTTGCCTAGTGAACAGAGTACAGGGGCTTCTTTGGATGGTTCACAGTGTTCGCCCTCCCCTCCCTCCCAGGAGGACCTGGACTCAGAGATTTCAGAGGATTCTGACCAGGAAGTGGACATAGAAGGCGATAAAAGCTACTTTAACGCTGGATGATGGTCACTAGCACTGGCAGGTTCAAAAAACTGGACCAGGAAATAGCATTTTGCTATAGAAATTCTTCACAGAAGAGCTGGAAACTATATGAGAAAGGAAGACCTACTTTTTAGTGTTCTGGAAACCTGAAAATATTTGGTGCACTGGCTATTTAGAAACCTACATTGAAGCCTTAATTTTAACTTAACAAATGGTGTATGTACTGATTTTAGGTTGTTTTGATAAAAATTCACACCCTCCCCCCTTTTAGGAAAAAAGTAAATTGTTTCTATTTATAAAAAGTAATTTTTAACTTTCGTTAAAATTTTTTAAGTTATAACTTTAAAGATTTTAATGGGCTCTTCTTGAATGACTTTCTGTTATCGTATTTACATCCTACTTAGTGGCAAAGCAAAAAGCACCCCCAAAGCACCCCCAAATCTAGTGCGTTGGAAAAGGGGTCCACATTTCAGGCAATCTTGGAATACTTTAAAAGGAAACAGTCTTTACTTTTACATGATATTCTGAACAGTGGCCTTAAATCCACAAGAATTTCAGAGCAGAGTAGATACATGCTTGTTTTGCACTGTCACTTAATACCTACCTGACAGGTGTTAAGAGGATAGTACTGTCCTACAGGCAGGGAAACTTAACTCATTGGTGACTAACAATCTCAGATCAACTAGAAATTCCAGGTTTAGTGTAAGTAGATTGTAGATACTGTGTTTTATATCAAACAATGTCTATAACGTGTGTATATAGAATTGTTCACTGTAAAAAAAAAAAACGACCAGAATTTTTAAAAATGAGTTCATTGTCTATAAAATAAATCTGACCTTGGGACGACTGACCTCTTCAGACATCTCATTCTGTGGTTTAAAAAACAAAGCAAAACAACCCCAAACGTACCTTTTCTTAGAGCGCCTTGGGGTGCCAGGCACGTTGCTCTAGGGCTGGAGTTGGGGCGCTGAGCTCTGGGGGAGGGGAGGCTTTCTGCCTGGCTGCAGCGCCGGGGATGGGCGTACTGGGCTAGGGTCGCTAGAAAGTGAGTTTGGAGTGTGTGCCAGGGAGCTGGGTGGGGTGAGGGTGTCTTCGGTGTGTCTTCTGGGGACTGGATTACCTTCCTCCTTCTCACTCCCCAAACTGGAAAGGTGACCTCGGTTTGCAGCGGGTCTTTCTGAACCCATCGATTCTCCTGGGCTGCAAGGCTGGCCGGGCCCCTCGCTGTCCTTGACCGATGTGAGTCAACACTGCGTCATCCGCAGAGTCTCCGGAGCCCCTCTGCTTGGCTAGGCTGGGTTTGGGGTGAACCGAGAGGTAGACAAGGACTAAGGCGCCATTCTGCTGAGCGAGCCTTGGAAGTCCCGCCCCATCCCTGCCTCTCCGATCTGTAGGTCTGGGGTGAGGGCGGGAATTTGCTTTTCTGCAGGAGAGTGGGTGCCGGGAGCACACTCAGAACACTGTCTAAGGTGCATCTAGTGTAGAGGAAGCAAGTGGGACACCTCACCTGGGCTTGAGGGTTGGAGCTGCCAAGGTCAGGAAGGAGGGAGATTGTGGGAAGGAAGCAGGGAGTATCCTCAGCGGTAGGGGGTAGTAGCTGAGGAGAGGTGGGTTCAGGGTGCAAGAAGGGCTATTGTGGGACTTGGGAGAATGAAGGTGCTGAGATGTAGGCAGAGACTGCTAAGGCTCTGACAGCCCTGGCCATGGAGAGCCTGCAGCCAGCTCCCTGCCTAGCTGAACCTTGAGTCTTCGGCATTCCAGAAAAAGTGGCAAAGACTTGTGAGGAAGAGGTTCAGAAATCTACCCATCTAGCCTGAGCCTCTGTGGAGCTCTCTCCATGTGGTAGAACTGGGTGAGGGCTTGGGACAGAGTGAGCATACCCTGATCTAACTGACAAGGGCTGTGGTTCCCAGATGTTGACCCTCGGGCCAAGACAACGAAGAAACAGTTGTCACATCTTGCTGCCATATAGTTAAAAAAAAAAATGCCTGGAATTACAGGCAATTTTGATTTTTGAGAATATAAGTACTAATTCTTAGGTAGAGGGATGTGAGTAGGCCTGGAAACTTGAAGATCTGCACTGGAATTTTAGTTGTTGGCCTCACTGCTCTCATCTGAAGAACAAGATTGTCTACTTTATCTGCAAGACCCCTGCCTAGCGTCCCATGTGCCAACTCAGTTCATGCTCTTCATCTCCCAACCCCCATCCTACAATTCCTCGATGTTGAAGCCCAAAGTAACCAAGTGAGAGTTTTCGCCCCATCAGCTGCTGGCGCTAAGCTGCAGACCCTGCCTTCCAAATTCCATCAAGGTTTCAAAGGCCATAATCAATCTTATCTGAAAATGGGACTGTCTGTATCAGATTTTTGGAGAATGGAAGGAAGGTTTGTGGATCTAGAATTAAATTAAAGTAATCCCAAAATCTGCATGTGTGTTTTGCCTCTGCAGATAACCTCTGGTTAATATTTATTCTTATGAGTAACTGTATCGTGCTATTAAGCAGAGAAACACCAGCTTATGTATTGATTGATAGTTGAAAGCTTGAGGGTGAAGTCTTGTTTTGAAGTCTACCATTCCCTGAAACCAAGCTTTTTCCAGTTCTTTTTTAAGTTGCTCATGGATCACACTAAACAGTTCCTTAAGAATCAGAGCATGTTACCTAGAAGAGGTACAGTATTCTCAGGACACACACTGGCATTAACATATTCTAAAGTGCCCCGTTGCAGACTGCCAGTGAGTACTTACAGATTCTTCCTACAATCCAGGCGAGTTGGTTTTTTTTTTTTTATTTGTTTGTCTTTTTGGCTATTTCATGTTGAAGCGGCATGTATGACCTTTACAACACAGCTCCTGTCTTGTTTTTAAACTCTTTTTATCAGGAGATTCAACTTGAAAACGGTTATCATTTAGCAGAAAGACAAACACAAAAGCACATTTTTGTAAGCAAAACGTTAATGATTGGAAGAATTGCCCTAATTTCACCATGACAGTGTGTGATTAATCCCCTGGGTCATGTACTTATACTTTAAGTTATTCAGTTTGTTGCTCTTTGATATTCAGAAACCTTGCTAACTTAATAGGATATTGATTTTGTTGGATGCTGTACTTTGGCTCTTTAAACAATATCACTTTTAGGGATGACTAGACTGTTGTGTAGTATTTTATTTAGAGAACTATTGCATAAGAGTTTTTTTTTTCTTAACTTTTTATGGTTTTCTCAGGGTGAAAGCTGATAAGACATCTTGTGGGAAAAGAGGAAACCATCTCTTGATAGTGAAAGTACCTATTCTCTTTTAACATTTCTGACAAGCTTTGTGCTTGTGGTTTTATTACTGTGAATATTCATCTTAGCTAATGAGGGCAGAATAGGGATTCGAGTGAATTTGTATTTTTGGACTTGATGGGGGCCTGCACTTTGCTGGGGACAGAGTGCATCAAAATTCTCATTCACTTAAAAACTCACCCTTTAAATTCTCTTTAAAATTTAATAATGATGCTTTAAATCTTTGATCAGAAGTGACCGTTATGTGACTCACAGTCACACAGGATAGAATATGGAAAAAAAAAGCCCCCCAGGATGTTTCTCAATGGTTAGGAGTTTAGTGCCTTAGGGGCAAAATAATCACATGTTCTGTTAACATGTACTTTTCATCCCACTGGGTTTCATGAAATCTCAGCTGGATTCTCTATGTCTAATTTAATTTTGTCCTTTGATACATTTTTTGATGTTATTTTTTAAAGTTAATTAAGTTTATTTGATATTGTTGTTAAACTCCGAAGAAAAACACTTCACACATTCCTCTCCCCTGCCACAGTATGAGCTCCTGCCCTCTCAGACGTGACTGCAGGGAGCACCTTCTCCGCGGAATTCATGCAGTGGTGGGTAAGACCAGAGCTGGCGCTAAGGCTGGGCAGATGAAGCCCCTGCTCCTTCCCTGCTGGATGAGGGTATCTGCATGAGTTAACCTCAGTTCTTGGAGTGGCAATAATAGCTGGCACTCAGTGCTGCCAAATGTAGCCAGAAAACTAGAAAGCACCAGTGAGTCCCTTCTTTTGAGGTAGCTCTTTGATTCACAGTTGCAGGCGGGAAACCTCTTCAGAAGTTGGATGTACACAAATCCAGACAATGGAGAGGGCTGCTGGAAGGAGACCTTGCAGCTGGCAAAAGCATTTCCTGCCTGTGGAGGATCTTGACTTTGGAGATTCAGGGTTGCCACGAAGCTTTTGAGACAAATGAACACTTTCCTGTGCAGCTGGTTTAAAAAGAAGACGAAAAAGAAATTTTGTTGTCAGTTTCAGTTGAGAAAGCCAATGGGATCATTTACTGCTTTAAAATTTTTTTGTTGAATGCATATTTTCTAACCATTTTTAAGAGCCTTGTTAGTCTGAGAAGGAGGTTGGTATTACTGAAAATTATTGTTTTACTTTTTATTGGTATATCTTTATTAGCATATAATAATCACACTCATTATGGGTTATTGTTACATGCACATAATGCACATCTTAATGTTTTTATGTCCCTTATGCTCTCCTCTCCTCCCTCCCTCCATGCAAAATCTTACAAATTAAAAAAATCTCGTTACTCCCTGAAAACAATCTCAGATGAACAAGTACAGGAAAGAGTCAGTGGTAACTGGTTCCTCTGCATGTTCACAAATGCTTGCAGGAGGAGAGAAGTTCTGTTTGTTTACATGTGTTTTTAATTATGCCCTTCCACCCATCCTCTTCTTTCACTTTTCTTTCTTCTTTTTATTCATATCACTCCCCAAATTCTTGAGTCTCGTTTAGTTTATTTTCTCATAAGAATACACAACAATGAACAATTATTTCTAAGATGGCAATATGTAATCCATTAACTAGGGATTTCCTACTGTTCATCTTTTTCTTCTGTAAATCTGTATAACTTGTACCCTTTCACTTTTTTTTCTTTTCTCCTTAAATAAAACAAAAGAGAGAACTCACATCATAAAAAAAAAAAAAAGAATACACAACAACTAATTGCTATTCATTTTCTTTATGTAGAAATGTGCAGCTTTTAGCTGAAGTGAAAATTCTGTTTGCAGGAAATGTGACTGGAGTCCTAATGTACTGCTGCTGTCCCTCTAGGGACGGTCCTCTCATGTTTGGGGGACTGAGCAAAGTGATGGTCAGGACGTGGTGACTGCACTGATGTTCTAGGGCCGAGACGCTTGGTAGCACTACAGGTGTAACGGAGCTGTGGAAAGATACTGCAAGAAGAGGTAGCGCAGGGTGTCGAGGCGGAATCTGCTAAGAGCTACTAACGCAGAGAAGAGGAAGCCGAATGCTGTTCCAGAGGAGGGCTAACCATGTATGTGTGCCTGAAGGCGACAGGGGCCTGGAATCCTCGGGTTTTGGATGGTGTAAGTAAGTCTCAGTAAAGGGTTTTGGAGCTGTATTCTGCCTCTCTGGCCGCGGAGGCATCATTGCCACAGTTTGCTTTTGTGTTTGGCAGTTTCCTCTGTCTGGAGCTCTCTTCCTCACCTCCATCAGGCTTGGCCTTCCCTAGCCATCCTGTCTACAGTTACTAACACCTATTCCTCATTCCTTCCCAAATTACTTTTTCTCTATTCATTTATTACACTTGAATATAATATTTTTACTGATTTATTATATATCTCTCCTCACTGTTACGTTAATGCTCTGAAAGCAGGGATTTTTGCCTGCTTTGTTCACTGCTGTATATTTCCAGCCCAATACAAAATAGGTTCTAGGAAACTGAGAAAGAAATTAACAGATACGCATATATACAAGGTGGGTTTTTGTTGTTATTTTTCAGGTGTTTGTACTGGGAATTGAACCCCGGGCCTTTACACTAAGCTATATTCCCCA